TGTGATTCAATCAGGAGCGTCATAAACTTTTACGACCTGCATCCAGTAGGTCATGAGGCAGAGTCACACTGGTGTGTGACCTGCATCCTGCCTGATAATCATTACAGGGTTTTCTGTTTAAGACCCCTATTATGTTGTAAACTGTTAATAAAAGGCTCTGCTGTGAAGGGAACTGGGAGAAAAGGTGCTGGTTGTGACCCATTGATCATTTGGTCCTCTTAAACTTACCTACTTTTATCAACGATCATTCTGCATGAATTATATATTTAGAATTACTAATATTTACATAAACTAAATTAAATTGATTATTTAATACGGTCTATGATTTCGCTGAAGACTCCTAGATCACCTGCAGAAACGCGTCATTTTCTCTTTACCCAATAAAACACCAAATCTAGTTCTGAAAAGAGTGTGAATTCTGTATTTATCATCTATAATTATATTGATGCTCATAATTAACCACAACAAATTAAAAAGTTTTGAATGTTCCACTTGAGAGTATTCCTGTTGCCACCATCTATATTAAATGAAAAAAAAGGTGACAGATGGATGATTGGCTAAGGGTCATGGCCACCCCTGGCCCCCCATCTAGCCCCGCCCCTGACCCTTCCTCCTCGTTACTACATTATAAAAACATTGAAATATTCCTTTATCAGTCCATAATTATGCTGCAGATTTAACCCCAATCACTTTATTCTTGTGGGATGTTGTGACGGTTAGTTTAACGCTCTGTTCTCTTTAGCTTCTCATTTTCCTCTGAAAGTTTTGCAACATTTAAGTCAATCAATAACTCTGTATGAATGGTGATGTTCAGATAACCTATTTCATTAATATCACATCTGGGATTTACCTTTACGTTCATCGGAGGAGGCTTCAGGGCGAGCTTCTGGACCTCCGTCACCGTTTCATCATCGGTTCGTCCTGTCGCAGTGATCTCCAGGCCGCTGTTGGGTTTCAGCTGAGGAATGTAATCCTTAGCTGGAATCTCAAATGTGCGAGTTTCCTCTGCAACAGAACCACACAGATCCAAACAGTCATGGGAGGAACGCTTTAAACCATAGAAGACCAGAGAGATTCGATGCTCACGCTGCAAGCCTTCCACGTCAAGATCGAAGCTCCCAACTCTGATGGGATCAGAGGAGGGAACTCCAGTGTAGTAGACCGTGCTGATGTCCAGAGTCACCATCACAGATTTCCTCTGGTCACCTTGATTGAGGATAGTTACTGCAACCTTCACAGGATCACCCACCGAACCCTGGATAGAGAAGGAAGAGATGGATGGATGGATGGATGGATGGATGGATGGATGGATGGATGGATGGATGGATGGATGGA